GAGTGCTGGGAACCCACCTGTCGCCGGCAGTCACTGGTTCCACTAAGTGTGATTCCCGGGCTACACGGGCTGAAACTAGCGGGTGGGCAGATGAGGGGGTCACGCAAGGAGAGTGGAAGGCGCGCTCCACATGAGATCTGAACATGAGCATTCAAGCCGGTGTGCGGGGTGTGGACCTGCCTCTCCTGTGATGGCTTCTCAGGCAGGGGCCTTCTCCACAGACACCCACTGCCTCCCCTTGGACCCACACCATGTCTAACTCCCTGTCACGGCCGAAAGCTCCGGGAGCCATGGGGAGGGTTCCCATCTTGATGAAGTTCCCATCAATGTGTGTGAGTCCCCGGCAGGTGCTTCTACCCCCACCGCCCGAGCTTTACCTGCTCGTCCATACATCATCCACCCGCCTGCATTTTCTCAGCACCTACTCTGTGCCAGGCCCTGAATGGCTCCAGGACTAAGAGATGAACATCATAGGGGAGAGGGAAGCGCCCCCTGGCCCTCAGGCATCCTTGAGTGGCCAAGGCCCGGCCCCCACCTGCTGCCCCTGACTTAGCGCTTGCCCCACGCCCTCTTCCAACCACCACCCTCCCGGTCACCCTAGCTCTCCCCTCTGGTAGAGGGGACAAGAGTGTCAACAGGTAGAACAGTGTCCACCCAGGGCACAGCCAGGTGGGGGTGTGCAGTCAGAACCTCAAAGGTGGGGGTAGGCTGGGAACACATCACTGGGGAGGAAGGGGCAGGGGTGGGGAGAAGGGCATTCCAGGAGGAGGGAACAGAATATGCGCAGTCATGGAAACATGCAATATTGTGACAGGACCTAAAACCTCTGAGACGGGAGCATTGGGTTAAAATTAAGGAACCCATGTGGGGCCCTAGCGGGTTTGGTTTAGTGGATAGAGCGTTGGTCTGCGACTGGGAAGGGTCCCGGGTTCAATCCCGGTCAAGGGATGTACTTCAGTTGAAGTTCTCTGGCCCTGGGCGGGGTGCGTGCAGGAGGCAACCAATTGATATGTGTCTCTCTCACATCAGTATTTCCCTCTGTCTCTCCCTCCTTTCCACTCTCTCTAAAAAGATCAATGGAAAATATCCTGGGATGAGGATTAACCAAAATAATAATAATACCATTATTATTGTTGTTGTTGTTGTTGTTGAATGCCAGGATGGGGAGCGTGGCGTTCATCCTGGGGTCAGTGGAAGCAAGCTCTAACAATGGGATGCAAGGCAAGAGCCTGCGGGTGGAGAGAGGAGGCTACTGCAGCCAGCGAGGCTTCCCCAAGAAAGGGGGCGCCTGGAGGGCAGGGAGGGCAGGCTGGGAGAGCCAGGGAAGATGCACAGAAGACAGAAAAGAGAAAAAGGCAGCGGGGAGGGGAAAGGGCAGGGAGGGGCCCGGCTGCGGCTGGTGGGCGGGCGGGCCTCCGG